GAGAGAGAGAGAGAGAGAGAGAGAGAGAGAGAGAGAGAGAGAGAGAGAGAGAGAGAGAGAGCAATCGCGGCCTGCACCATCGCCTTTGGCCTCTGCCTTCGCCCACCTCCGCTCGGCCTCCGCCCACCTTCGCCCACGTCGGACCAGCTCCCTTCCGTCTTCGCCCACCTCCATTGGCTTCCCGATATCTCCTCTCCTCTGCCTCCGCCACCTCCCGCCCCTCTTCCGGTTATCTCCTCCTGCCATGTCCTCTCTGCCTCTGCCACCTCCCGTTCGCCTCCTCCTGCCATCTCCTCTCCACCTTCGCCACCTCCCGTCCGCCTCCTCCCGCCATCTCCTCTCCGCCTGCGTTCCGATTCTTGCGCATCCGCCATCCCTCTGTCCGCCTTTTAAAAGGAAAACAAAAAAAAATGGTGCGTGCCCACCTCCCCTCGGCCAGTGCAGACCTTCTGTCCGCCTCTGCCCACCTCCCTCCCGCCATTGGGATGGCCAATCTCCCCTCAGCCTCCGCCCACCTCCCATCCGCCTCCTCTGGCCATGTCCTGTCTCTCTTTCCGCTCGGCCTCCGCCACTTCTCCTCCGCCTCCGCTCACCTCTGCTCTGGGCTCCGTTCCTCTGCCCGCACATCCGCCATCCCGCTGGACATCCCATTGCCAGCCCCTTTTTTCTTTTTTTTCTTTGTTAACAGTGCGTGCCCACCTCCCCTCGGCCTCCAACGACCTCCTGACCGCCTCTGACAACCTCCTGTCAGCCTCCGCCCACCTCCCTTCTGCCATTGGGATCTCCCATCTCCCCTTGCCTTCCCCCCACCTCGCGTCCGCCTCCTCCTGCCATCTTGCACATCCCGCTGTGCTGCTAACCCTCCCTTCCGCCATTGGGATCTCCCCTTGCCCTCCGCCCACCTCTCGTCCTCCTCCTCCCAACATCCCGCTGCACATCCCGCTGTGCGCGCCAACCTCCCCTAGGCCGCGGCTGACCTCCTGTCCGCCTCTGCCCACCTCCTCCGTCCGCTACCTCCAACCACCTCCGCAAGGCCCCCACCCGGTACCTCTGTCCACCTCCCCTCGGCCTCCGTCCTATGCCTCCATCCACCGGTCGGCCTTCGCCCTCTCTCCTCTCCGCCGCCTCCCGCCATCTCCTCTCCGCCTCGGCCACTTCTCCTCTGCCCACCACCCCTCGGCTGGTGGCCCATCCCCCGTCCAACTTTTACCGTCTTCTACCTCTGCTCGGCCTCCACCCACCCCATCCGCTATCTTCTCTCCCTGCGGTAAAGATGATTCCTTGGAGAGAGAGAGAGAGAGAGAGAGAGAGAGAGAGAGAGAGAGAGACGATT